ATCTCTTCTGTCATGAAAGAGAAACTAAACACAAAATATGCCTCAGAAAATATGTCCAAGCCTAAATTCAGATGCATGCTAGGATTCCAAGATTTCTGCCTTTCAGCCCAGCTCTTGAAGAAATTTATACAGTGGCAGATGCAAGATTTCTCTGTAGAAGAGACTCAGGAATGGTGATGTGTTTGCAAGGAAGAGCTGGGGCTAAACTGTCTTTTAGGCAAACTGTATTTGCCTAAAACTAGGCTTGTTTGGAGTGAGCTGCCAAATCTGCTAGTGAATTCACATTCCCCTGGGAAGCCTGCTTTTTGGAAGGTCTTCAAGAAGTATTGAACTTTCAAAAAAGTCTGAAAACTATAATTGACCCTATACGTGAAGGCTCGTGAACTAAACTGGGTTCTGACAATGTGGACAGCAACCTCCCAGTTATCGCTTTCCATTCTCAAGTGGCGCTGCTTCAGCTCTTGTAAAATCCTCAAATTCCTACCTTAATGGCCAGGAGGAAATCAAACTGTGGAACTAGTCTGCACCTCCAAAGCCCCAGCAACCCCAAACTCTGTTATCCTTCCTTTCATTTCCCATTTTGACCCCTTTTAATGATGACCCCCCCCAAAAAAAAACTGCTGCAGTGAACATGGGGGTGCATATATCTCCTTGTTCATGTTTTTTTCTTTGGATAAATACCCAGAAGTGGAATTGCTGGATCATATGGGAGTTCTATTTTAATTTTTTGAGAAACTGTTTCCGTAGTGGCTGCACCAGTTTACATTCCCAGCAACAGTGCACAAGAGATCCCTTTTCTCCACATCCTTGCCAATGCTTTGTTTACCATAAAGTCTGCTTCGCCTGATATTGATGTAGTTAGATCAGCATTCTTTTGGTTGATATAAGTTAGTGTATCTTTTTCTTTCCCTTTACTTTCTGTGCTTGTATTTTAGGTATATCTCTTATATAAGTATGTATCTGGGTTTTGTTTTTTATTGAGTCTGACAAACTGTCTTTCCACAGGGTAATTTAGTTCTTTTAAATTGACGATGATGTTCCCTGGTGGTGCAGTGGTTAAGAATCTGCCTGCTGGGCTTCCCTGGTGGCGCAGTGGTTGAGAATCTGCCTGCTAATGCAGGGGACACGGGTTCAAGCCCTGGTCTGGGAGGATCCCACATGCCGCGGAGCAACTGGGCCCATGAGCCACAACCATTGAGCCTGCGCGTCTGGAGCCTGTGCTCCACAACGAGAGGCCACGATAGTGAGGCCCACGCACCGCGATGAAGAGTGGCCCCTGCTTGCCACAACTAGAGAAAGCCCTTGCACAGAAACGAAGACCCAACACAGCAAAAATAAATAAATTAATTAATAAACTCCTACCCCCAACATCAAAAAAAAAAAAAAAAAAGAATCTGCCTGCCAATACAGGGGACATAGGTTCGAGCCCTGGTCTGGGAAGATCCCACATGCCACGGAACAACTAAGCCCATGCGCCACATCTACTGAGCCTGTGCTCTAGAGCCCATGAACCATAACTACTAAGCCCACACTCTGTAACTACTGAAGTGCAGGCGCCTAGAGCCCATGCTCTGCAACAAGAGAAGCCACCACAATGAGAAGCCCGCTCACCGCAACGAAGAGTAGCCCTCGCTCACTGCAACTAGAGAAAGCCCACGTGCAGCCAAAAATAAATAAATAAAATAAATAAATTTATAAAAAAAGAAAAAAAGTTGACGATGATGATTGGTAATATCTCAATTATTTTAAAACTATTTTATGCTTTCTATCTGTCTTTTTTTTTTTGGCCTCACCATGTGGCATGTGGGCTCTTAGTTCCTTGACCAGGTAATGAACCCATGCCCCTGGCAGTGGAAGCACAGAGTCTTAACCACTGGACCGCCAGGGAAGTCCCTGTCCTGTCTTTTTTATGCTGATATTGATGTTCTTGTTTGTTTTTTCCAATCCTTATTTTGGATTGATTGTCCTATTCCATCTTCTCCTGCTCCACCAGTTTGGATTTTATACATTATTTCTTTGTTTATAGTGGTTCCCCAGAAATTTTAACAGTCTGTTTAACTCGAAGCCTAAAACTAAGTAGTATCTTAACCATCTTCTTGAGTATAGGAGGGCATAGAATTTCTTGATTTCTTTCTTTCCTCCCGACTTTTATGCTATTGTTGTCATATATTTTAGTTCTTTCTTATTTTTTTTTAAAACTGCCAAAGACATTATTATTTTATATGGTCAGTCTTCATTTCGGTTCACCCACATATATGTCATCTTATTTGCCCATCGTTCCTTCCTGCAACACAGATCTTCCATTTGTGAGAATGTGCTTCCTCTTGAAGAACGTCCTTTAGAATTTCCTTTAGTGAGGATCTGTTAGCTGGAGAGTTCAGTGTTTGTTTGGTTTTCATAACTTAACTGTTGTCTTTTACTTATGGCTGTTATTGAAAGGTATCTTTGTTTGGAATGTGGTTATTTTCTCAGTTTTCCCTGCATGCTGTCTTTTTCCTTTCATTGCGAAGAGATCAGCCCTTAGTCTAATTTGTGTTCTTTTGTGGAGAGTGAATTTACTCTCTGGCTGCTTTCAGTAACTTTTTCTTTGAGTGCTTTTGTTTTTACTATGATTTCTTTAGGAGTAGGTGTTTTTTTGTTGTTGTTTTGTTTTTTAAATATTTCCAGGTTGAGACTCACTTGGCTTCCTGAATGTGTTAGAGTTTTTCATGTGTTCCGGAAAATTCCTTAGCCATTATCTTTTTTACAAAACCCTTTCCTACAGTTTCTTTATCATCTTTTGAAAGTCCTGTTAGATGTAATATTTTATCACTGTCTTCCATGTCTCTTAATTGCTTTTCTTTCCCATTTTTTCCTTCTTCAGGCTTAATTGTGTGCAGTATCTTCATTTCTGTCATATCTGCTGTCAAGTATATTTTCAATTTCAATAATTATGTTTTTATTTTAAGCATTTATTTATTTATTTGGCTGCACTGGGTCTTAGTTGTGGCACGTGGAATCTTTTAGTTGCAGCTTGCATGTGGATCTAGTTCCCCGAGCAGGAATCGAACCCATGCCCGCTGCCTTGGGAACGTTGGAGTCTTACCTATTGGACCACCAAGGAAGTCCCTCAATAATTATGTTTTTAGTGCTGGAATTTTTATTTGGCTCATTTAAAAAAATCTGCTTGGTCATTTAAAAAATATCCCCCCCTTGCCTTTTTTTTTAATATGTTGAGCCCTCTTTTATTTATTAAATCATATTAGGTTTATTGACAATTCTTTTAAGTCTTAGTGGGTCTTATTCTTCTGGGTTGGTCACATTTTTTACTTTTCTTTAGTTTCTTCATGTATAAAATAGTAATAATACTAATAACACCAACTGAATCATGAGATTGTTGTATGAGTTGAGATAATGAATGTATTAATATATGTGTCACATAGTGAATGCTCAATAACATGTAACCCATTAAAATAATTAAAAATAATGAGACATAGTGTATGACTTATGAGATATACAGGAGCTATAAATTTTATTGAGGAATATAAAAGACAACTTGAGTAAATAAATACAGCAGAATAGAAACACAGTATTAATAATGTGAACTCATGTTAATTCACATTTTATACAATTTCAATAAAAATTCTAACTAAATTTATTTTTAAAGTTTGCCAAAATTATCATAAAGTTAATGTAAAAGAATAGGTGAGGAAAGTTTGTTTGTTTTGTTTTTTTAGACTTTCTGTTACTGTGGTTTTGTCCCAGGGCTACTTAGCTACTAAGAACAAAATGTGATTTCCTGAAACTTGTTTATTTCTTTCTCTGCACCTACTTAACGGGGATTCTAAAAGAAGGCCTTCTGAGCAAGGGAATAAAAGGGCATGGTTGAAGAACTCATTCCCATAAAAATGATCTCAGAATGCCAAATATCTTTTGCTCACACAGATAGCAGGTTGCAAGAGTACTTTCTGTTCCAAAATGGAAGTGGTCCTCACTGGAGGATTTTTATCCTTTCATTTGGGTGCGGTCTGACTTAAATGACTAGGAACCTTGAGTATCAGTCTTACTTGGTAGTATAGGTGATTTTTTTTCTTCTAGGCCTTTGGTAGACTTAACCATCTTTACCTAATGTCTTTTTTATCACTTCATTCAGTGAACTTATATCCATGTAGCTATTTGTTGAGCATTTACTAGGTATCAGGCACTAGTTAGGTGATGGAAGACAAAAAGCAGTGAACTTAGCTGAGTCAGTCCTTACTTCAGTAATAATTGTAGGTAATAGTTAGTGACTGTTTATAGTTGTGCTTGCCATATATTGAGTCATTTAATCATCTCAGAAAGCTATGTGGTAGGTAGGATTAATATCCCTACTTTACATGTGAGGGGTTTGTATACTTGCTCAAGATTGAGGTAAGGACTAGAAGGGGTCCTAGGATCAAGCCACTTGCAAAGGGTGACCCTAAGGCTGAATCCTGGGCAGAGTAATTCAGATAGGCTCCTGCTTTGTGATTGCACACACCAGCAGTCCATATTCTTTTGGTTTTCCCAGGGCCTCTTCGCTATAGAGTATAGTTTGGCCGGGGAGTAGGGTAGAGGATGGTGCTGTGCTGACTTAAGGATTAACCCTTAAACATTCTACCATACTCTCCCCGCCAGACATTAACACATACTGTGTATCTATAACACAGAAAAGCATTATTACAGTGCCACAAAAGGTCATTGTGATAGAGGTAGATGGGCTACCTTCGTATGTTTAGATTCTCTTACTATTTTGCTTTAAATTTATCAGAATTAAAATATAAAAGGATTTTTCAAATGATGACTTATGTTGTTTAGTTATTAGTCAATAAATCTGATTGGGTTTGTTAGAGCCTTTGGGTCCATTAGGCCCTAGTAGATTAAGTGATTACCCTATAGAATCAGCAAAGCATTGCTCAGAAGCATGTGTTATCTCTGGTGATTAATTACTAGTGGGGCTGATGTGCAGCAGATGCCTGACTCTTCCTTTCTGGGTCTCTTAGCAACAGCTCGAAGAAGAAGCTGCTAAACCTCCAGAGCCTGAGAAGCCTGTGTCACCTCCTCCCGTGGAGCAGAAACACCGCAGTATTGTCCAAATTATTTACGATGAAAATCGGGTAAGTTCATGCCATTCCCGACGGCACAGGCCTTTAAAACCACTGGACTATGCCTTTTCCAGTCATCTGTGTATTCTGTGGTAATATTAATTGTATTAAACCTGCTTTCTGTTATAATTTTTAATGTTCTTAAACTTTGACTGAAGCTTGGTGTTTTTTCTTTATATACTGAAGAAAAGTTGATAGTTGTGTCTTAAATTATTTAATATTTCATTTGCATTTTATATGGTATAATACTATTTTGTGACAGTATAATTTTATCAGCTGAGTCTCTCTCCTGTTATATAAATAGTGGTAAGCAAGTGTGTAGCACATAATACAGCCATTCTGTAGTTTTTCACTTTATAAGCAACATTTAATGCCAAATACACTATTCTAGTAGAGATGGTCATTGGACGTGGAAATGGCTTGCATTATCTGCTTCAGAACTGATAGCTGGGGTGTGCTTTGAATTTTAGTTACAAAGTATGAGGCCATTGACCTTTAGGTCAACTTTCCTTTTTAGGTTTGTTAACATAATTTCTTCTTTCATACTCATAATTAAAAGTGTCCACGGATTTAGGAAAGCCAGGCCTCAATTCTATGAATAATTTTGTGACGCTGAAGTTCGTTTTTGGCCAGAATCCAGCCCAGGAACTAGCAGTTAAAGGGAAACTGATTTCACCTTAATGTGAAGAAAACCTTTCAACAGAGCTGCTTAACACTGGGCTTCCAGAAGCCCCCAGTTCAAGAAAGAATTATATGCTTTAAGTACTATGGTAGAGAATTGGCTTGTCAGCTTAAGGTGATCATAAGGTAGAAGTTGGGGATTGTCATTTCAGTTTATTTGCCTTGTAGTGAGTGGAGTCTTACACAGGCATCCTGTAGCAAGGTTAGCCCAGATCCTAAAGGAAATTGACCTTAAGAAAAGCAGCTGTGAGATAGTCATTAAATACACTTTTATAGGAATGATCTTGGACTCAGGCGTGTGTGTGTGTAGATAGATAACTGAAAGTCATCAGGTACACAATACTTAAGGAATTTTAAGTCACTGAGAGGCAGAAATATGGACAATTATTACTAGTTCCTTGACTGGGTTCAAAATCAGTCCAATTTATTGGGCAGAACAACCTACGTGAAAATGAGTCCAGTGAGGGTGAAGGGAGTCTGTGGAAGGAGTGATGAGGACCCCTCAGGGCATGCCTGGAGGGCAGTGACGCTGGGGTCCTTGCAGGGATGTGGCCCAAGGTCAACAGGTGCTTCCTTGTTTAAGAGAAGCAAGGTACATGGATTTTATATGAAATCTCCTGCTTTTAAAAAAACACACTGGAGAACAAGAAAGTACTTCTGAGGGCTGATAGGCTTCATGGCCAGTTTGTGACTTCAGGGGTAAAGTAAATAGGGATTAGAGCTGATAATAATGGAAAAGGCTCTTATAAAATAATATATTGACTTCTTTCTTAGTATGAGTTACTTTTCAGATACATTGAATTCAGTGATATTTATTAATTGATTGAATTTCTTAATTAGCCTTCTCTTACAGGCCTAATAAACAGTTCCAGTGTTAGTGAATTCTGCGGTTGCCTGACTAGGATGTGAGGACTGAAAACTACTGAACAAGATCTGATAGAGAATTCAGTTTGTGTTAATTTATATATATGTATTTTTTTCATTAGCTAGTGTAGTAAATGTTCCTTGATGCCCATCAGCAGAAACGAAAGCTCCTTTTAGACCTCTTCTTGCCATTTTAGCATTTACAATTCAGTTTGTTACACATTCTGTGAAGAACAGAAGAACCAAACTTGAAATCTGTCTTAATATTAGACTTGCAATGAGGATTGTTTTTAACTCAGTAACCATAGAAATCATCTTTCAAAAAATAGGTTCTTTTTGTATCCCCTGCTGCTAGTCATCTGCGTTGGTGGTGCTTGTGCAGTAGACCCCGGATGGTAGCAGAAGCCCCCGAGGGGCGTGATGGGAGCAGGCCGCTTTCTCACCACTGACCCTTGCCTGTGTCTTCCTCCTCACCATGCTGCCTTTGTTAGACCTTCACTGCCTCTGTAGCTTTTTGTCATGAATGACCTTACCTGTTTGGACACCGAGGTCACAGAGCGGTGGGGGGCAACAAGAGTACATCTCCGTCTTGTTGCTTGTTTGACAGTGGCAGATACTGGTTGGCAATTAAGCCAAATGTGGCCCAAGAGATAGGGGCCCTTGTCTCGTATGAGGCATCTTTTATTTAGAAAGTTAGTGCAAGGCAGAAAACTACCTCAAACTGACTGTTAGTTTTAAAATTGGCTTCCTGGGAGAAAAATTGCCTTGTATCACGTTTAAACTTGAGGCTAGGATTCATTTAGTCTCCAAACAGACTCTTCTCCTGGACTGTTTTTAACAGTTCAATTTGCTGTTACCCTTCCCAGTTGTAGGTTCAAAAAATATTTGTAAGTGCTCTAATTTCAGCATTGTAATACATATAGAAAAGAGGGGGTGTGCAGTGAAGCTTTCAGGAACATGTTTATATTTTGATTGAATGATTTGCAAGTTAACGAGGCACCAGAAGAAAGAAAGTGATTGACAGTGGAGAATGTACTTAGTGCCAACAACCTCTGGTCACCATGGCCATCGTCCTGGAAACTATCGATTTCTCTCTCTTTGCCACTCTGCAGACTTGGTTAATCAATGAAGAGCCTCAGTCCTGCCTCCTGGATATTGGTCTGGTCAATTGCTTCTCTCTTCCTCCTTCGCCAGTTGCTTGATTGGAGCCCTCACCTCTCATTGATGCTGAGTTTCCTTCCTTCAGTCATTTTTTTCTTTCTAATCCATCCTTCATATTTGAGCCCCCTGACGTGGTTCTTCAAGTAAATCTTTTTTTTTTTTTTTTTCGGTACGCGGGCCTCTCACCGCTGTGGCCTCTCCCGTTGCGGAGCACAGGCTCTGGACGCGCAGGCTCAGTGGCCATGGCTCACGGGCCCAGCCGCTCCGCGGCATGTGGGATCTTCCCAGACCGGGGCACGAACCCGTGTCCCCTGCATCGGCAGGCGGACTCTCAACCACTGCGCCACCAGGGAAGCCCCAAATAAAACCTTTTGATGACTTCCCCCTTTCTACAGAGTAGCCCAACCTTTTCATCAGTGCTTATGTGCCTGCCTGCCTGGCTGGCCCGTGGCCCAATATTCCCTTCTTAGCCATACCCTACCAGAACAGGTGTGAATGTTCCCTTGACGTTAGTAATTTACCCCGTGACGTTTCCCCTGCCGTCAGGCATCCCCGTGGCTTGCCTTTTTTGTCTGTTGAGTGCATTCGACTTCAGGACCCAGCTCAAGTATCATTTTCTCTATGAAGCCTTTCAAGACTCCTTATCTTCCTACACCAGGAAGGATATCTTATTCATTGTTTCCTTAGTGTCTCGCAGGTGCCTGGCACATAGAACATAGTCAACATATGTTTGAGGCATTAATTACTTCTATCTATAGACTTAGAATAAAATTATATTATGTAAATGTGAAGGTTTTAAATTAATTTTTTTCTGCCAAACGATAGGTTAATCTGTTCTTAGCAGTTAAGCCAACATGAAGTCAAATATGTAATAAAATTTTGCAAAACTTAAATCTTGGGATATGCAGACACCTTAAATATTAGCCTTTAAAATTAGCTCTGAAGAGGTAAGTGCCTTTACGTAATAGGATACCAGTAAATATTTGTCGTGATAAGATTTCCCCCTTGTCTCTCAGTATTCTCTGTTACAGCCTCACTTAGCCTGCCTGTTCTTGGCGTAGACTCTATGTAATGTGGAGTGCCTCAAGAAAGCAGGTTTAAACGTTGGAGAATGAAGGTCGTCTAGAGAGAATCAGCTGTAGGTGCTAGATATTCCAAATTTATCATCTGTGATTATGCTGTTTGTGTGTTATTTAACATATACCTTAAAGCTAATAAATTTTGTGATAATTACATTTTGGCTTTTTGAGATTAGAACATTGTTCTCAACTGCAGACTGTTTTGATTGTTGTAACTTGGGGAGGGGTGGAGTGCTGCTGGCATCTAGTGGGTAGAGGCCAGGAGTACTGCTGAATAGCCTACAGTGCCCATGGCAAAGAAATGTCTGGCCCAAATGTTAATAATACCAAGGTCGACAAATCGACTTAAAACTATATACAGAAATAGCATTAGCTGTGCAAGTTCATTGGTTTTTTTATAGTTTTGTATATGATATTTTTGATATGTTTATTTCTCATCTTAATAACATTTTAAGTTTCTTGGAGTTTGGAAAGTGCATTACAGTACTTTGAGCTTCCTTTGCTAATTAAACGTAGTTCTTTTCACATAATATATGCTAAATAAATATTTGAACTATTGTAATTGATAAATGAAAAGGATAGTGTTTATTTTAAGGGAACATCTTTCTCTACACTTGGGGATACTGATTAGTTCCATTCCCATTTGTGTGTTGCATCAGAAGCCCTGGAGAGTTTCCCAGCCACAGTGCGTGGACATGGGAGTCTCTGCAGCGGGCAGTGAGCCCTTGTTGTTACTAGTGAGCATGTGCTGGGGCAAGAGAGAGATCTGAGAACCCCCGACACATTTGCTGGATGTCAAATTCCAGCTTAAACAGCTTTAGTATTGAATTTTATTATATTTCATTTGTCTATTAAAGGTAAATTTCTGTTAGATAGATAGCACTTTGGTCTAGATGATTTTACTTCTGAAAAAGGCATGTAAAAGTATATAATTCAACATTTATTTATTACTGAATACTTTGAGTAATTCAAACTGGTTGTTTTCTCTATTGTTATTACTAAGGTTTTCTTATAATTGGAAAATATGCTCATTATAAGCTTTTCTTCAAAGAGATCGATTTGGCTTACCGTAGTAAAGATTGGCAACTTTAATGAAAAGTTAAAAACATAAAATACCATAAAGACATTGAGTTGAAGTATTAAAAATGTTTGAAGGATTCATTTCTAATAGTGAATCTCTGTTCCCTCTCCCTGGAATCTTAATATCTTTTTGTTTTTAAGAACTTACCAATTCTTTAGGTTTTGCTTTCAATACAAATGTTCAGATCTGACTGAATTTTGTGAGGGAGTTATGAAAATAAAATTAGAGAGTATTTCAGGCTATCATATGAAAGAAGAATATTTGGAAATAAGGATAAGTTTGACTGTAGATTAGTATTTAGGTAAATATTATTAAATTGGAAGTGATTTTGCATTTAGGTAATATTATTTTTAATTATACAATATAATAATGTTTTTATCTAGAAAAAAGCAGAAGAAGCTCATAAAATATTTGAAGGTCTTGGCCCAAAAGTTGAACTGGTAAGTAAGAAATTTCTTTTTTCATGTCTAGTGCTCTTTTTGTAGCAGTTTTTCTTGGGATATAATGGAATACAGTCATTTACTTTGGGATGAGAGTGATGTAGCTGGGCAGTAAGGGTGATAAGCTTGAAATAATGTGCATGAGCTTGGTTACCTTTGCAGAAGCATTTTCCTGATTGTGTTTTTGCCTGAGCAGCCATTTAATCACTCGGTTAGAAGGAGAAAGAATTAAGAACAGAAATAGAAAGCTCTTTGAATCATACTGTTAGGGTAATATTGGTGTTAAATCCTCCTTTGCCTTTGAGATTAAAAAAATCTATGAATGAATTTATTATGGGGTACAGTGGATTTATGAACTTTCCTAGAGCAGTGGCGTTGTTAGGAGATGGGGTGGACAGAGTTATTCAGGGAACCTGAGCCTGGAGGTTTTGGTAGGGCGTCTGTTGTGTAGACCCAGTAGTACTGTACCGCTACCATTGAGATAGAAATTGTGTCTTTGTCTCTTCATAGATGATGTACAACATTTTGTATATAAATGTTTGATTTATTTTATAGCCACTCTATAACCAGCCATCAGATACCAAAGTGTATCATGAGAACATCAAGACGTAAGTATTGATCATCTTTGGAGTTCTTCAGTTAAAGACCGTATATTCTATAAAGAGATCATTTTTATGTTATCTGCTGACATAGTATTATAATATAGTGTAGGTGTGTTATAATATAGTGTAGGTGTGTTTTAGATTTGTGTAATTTGCTGTCGTTTTACTATATGTTATCTTCCTCTGGCTTCTTGGGGGTTGGGGTAACAGCTTTGAGTTTCCGAGGCCAAAAAATGAAATAAATTATTGCATAAAACTAGCTGGTTTTATAATCTGCTAGTAAAAAAGGTGGATACTTAACATTGAAATGGCTTACCTTGAGGCTTGAATTTTTTGCCTCCTGTTTTGTCTTTTTTTCAGTGGAGTACCTGCAAGGCGCATGATGAAGTAAGATAATGAAGCTTTTTCATTTAAGACTAGTGATGACACCGTCCCCCACCAAGCCACATCTGCCATTGCAAAGTAGAAGTGCCACGGATCATTTTATCATTATTCAAAATCCTATTCTAGGGAAATCCCTTCCATGACTCTTGCTAATGACGGTATTTGTAGACCCTTCTGCCATTTCATGTCCTGGTGCCTTGGAAGCGCTCAGCCACCTCATGTGGGTGAGGAGACTGCTCCAGGTTGTAGTTTGCATAGCCTTGCTCATCCCAGACACCAGGCCTTTATGGATGCACATTTTGGAATGAGAAAATAAGTGAAAAGAAAACCTAATTACTGATCTGATTGAAGTAAGAGAGGAAGCTAGATAGGTATCTTTTTTTTTATTATCATATTTTAAGAGAATTTTAGATGAATTATTCTTAGTTTGTAACAAAAATGTGATATTTCTACTTTATATGTTTTATTAAGTATAACCAGAACATTATACTTATTTACTAGTACCGTTACTAATGAGCACATTGCTATTTATATATATATATCTTTTTTTTTCTTTTAAAAAATTTTCTTACTGAGAGTATGTGCAATAGTTGACTACTTTGCAGAACTGGTGGCAAATATAATTTGCATGGTAGTATGCATGATAAAAATTGAAATTTGAATAATTTTAACTTTTGTTAAGTAAGTGGTTTATAATAAAAGTCATATACTTAGAATTTTTCTGTGAGATGCTGCTATGGGCTTGACAACCCTTAGAAGTAGGTTAGGCAAAACTCATATAAAATATACCTTGTTTTGGAACTGTTTCTCTGTTTTAACATTTTTACAAAGGAGAATAGCAGATAAAATCTAGTTGGCTACTTTTAATGATTTTTTTTTCCGCAAAGCTTCCGTTATGTTTGTGTTCTGTCTTTTCCCTGATATTAGCTGCAGAGCAGCCCTGATTTATTTCATATTAGCTACATTGCCTGCTACAGTGCTTATCACACTGTCCTGAGATGGGGTTCTTCATTTAAATTCTTAGGAAACATTTTAAGTTATATTTATTGATTGTCATTTGCTTTTGAGTAGTACATAATTACAATGAGAGCAAACTGAATATATGGTAACGCTCCTGCTGTAGATCACCTTGTGAAATACCGTTCACTCAGCTGCATGCGTCTGTATGGATCGTTCAGTAGCTATTCTGTCATCACCGTCATTTGCTTTGTATGAAATAGCAAACGTTCCTTTTAATAATTCTCTTCATCTCTTGGCTACTTTTCCGTATAGCCAGCTCCTGACTGTCCATGCTTATTTGAGTGGAGCCAGTGTCAATGTTAGTCCTGAGTGGCAGATAATCCAAAAAATTACTCCTACTTGCCTTGGCTTTGTATTTATATTTGAATAATCAGCTTGAAATCCTTTCTGGAAGTAGGTGGGGTATAAATATTTATATCTGAGCCTGCATGTCATTGTTTTTGAAGGTTGCAGTGCTTCCAATTTGAAAAGTGAAACTATTACACTAAGTTATAAGGGAAGTCTTCCTGTCCTGTCACGTTGGCCTCCGTGGCGTCTTAGAGTGTATTGTGTTGTTTCTGTGTAAAGCAGAAGCTGCCTCTGTGTTGGTGCACTCTCACAGGAGGGAGGACAGCACATACCTGAGGGAGGAGATAACTTTACAAGCTCCGCCTTCTCTTATGCCCCCCTCCCTCCAAGAGTGTGCCAAGATGTTTATCTCACGAGGGTTCTTAAGGAGAATCAGTAACTGTGTAATCAGAACTTGAAAATAATATTTGCCTTACAATTGAATGTAATAACTAAAAATGAACTATTTGTATTAAAGTCTTACTATAGAATGGGAGGAATTTTAGTCAGTTCTAATTATTGCAGGAGTCTTATTTTGCAGGGTGAAAAAAATTAGGGTTAACTTTGATTACATCATATATTCTTAAGTGATCTTCGCTTGTTTTTCAGTGTCTCTGAAAACAAAAAAGTGAATGCATTATTAAATTGTACTTTTTCTTAATGTCATACAACCATATTTTTCTCTTCTAGAAACCAGGTGATGAGGAAAAAACTCATTTTATTTTTTAAAAGAAGAAATCATGCAAGAAAACAAAGGGTGAGGTCCTATCCTTGTTAACTGAAATTTGTGCAACTTTCCCGTCCGCGCTTCTTCAGGCATTCGCTTTCCCATTGTAGTGAGAACGGTTCTTGATCACACATGAGAACAGGTGCTGATTTAGACAGTAACTATAGATGTGACGTAAATATAAATCTAATTCTAGCAACATTTTGATGTCATAAATCACATTTAATATCATTATCAAATTAATTTCTTTGGTCATCTGTGTATAACATTTTCATCTAGCCAAAATAAAGAAAATGGTGAGTAGTTAAAAAAAAATATGAAAGAGAAATAGGATGATCTACATTTAGTCTCTTAACCCTCAAACAAATGTGGGTAAGTTATGGTCATGCTGATAAGACATCACTGTTCTTTCTTATTAGAAACTGGGTCAGCTAAAGTTCAGCTTTTTCAAATTCACATCGTTTTTCATATTTATTATAGGACTTGCAGTCTAAAAATTTTGTGGTTATAATCTTCATGGAAATTAAGTTACAGAAAATATAATGCCAGTATTCTTATTTTTATAGTGTGTTCCTACTAATTTTAGACAGACTATTAATTCATTTAAATTGTTTTTTAGTGAATAAATGATGTTCTTTGATTCACATCAGAAATGAACTTTGTACCTTGTATTTAAGGACCTGACAGTTTAATGAATTTTAAGGGTCAACAGCTTTTATTTGGTATTATAACTTCTAGTGTTCTAATTTGCCAGTCTAGTCCTTCAGATACTTTCTTAAATTACCGGTCTTGAATCTTTTTTTTTTTTTTTGCCAAGAGCATACACATATAATTAAGAAATTAGTTAAAGTATTTTTTTCTATCTGATCATTTTGTTGTAATCATGGTGTAATTGCTAAATTTGCTATCTGGAGACACAAACACAGAAGCATGGACTTTGTTTTCATACTTCACAGGGTATTTAGTTATGAAGTTTATATGTTCATTGATTTGCTTAATAAATACTTATTGGCTATTTCCTTTGTCCCATGTATTATTCTACAAAGGGAGCGGGCAGCCACGTGGTTTTAGCCCTTAGGGAGCCTAAGGAGTAAGGGGGTAGATGAGGCTGCAGGCGATTACAGTGTTGTGGTCTTACGATGGCACAGGATGTACAGATGACCATGAGAGCGTGTAAGGGGACAGCTGGCGCAGATATGAATCATGAGGGGTGTTGCACAGGAAAACCAGTCCCCTGCAGACTTTCACAAGCAGTGGGAGCAGCTCACGGGAAGGTCTGGGAAGTGGAGGGAGTGTGGCAGGTTGGAGAGGGCTGGGCTTGGACTGAGCTGGGAGGGTGGCGAGGAGTGAGGCTGTGCAGGGAAGCCAGGGCCGGGTTGTGCACAGATCCTGAGGGCAGCTTTTAAGTGTTTGAGCTGAGGAAGTGAAATGTTGAGCTCTGTGTTTTAAGAAGTTGCATCTGGTTATGCCATTCAGGGTGCATGGGAGTCATCTAGGAAGGAGGCCGTTGCTTGAATCCAGATGAGACCGAGGGGGCGGCATAGAGCTGAGCACAGGTGGAGGCCGAGGAGTAGACAGGCTATGAGGAGACAGGGCATGGGGAAGGCAGTGCTTTCCCCTTGCGGCCGCTTCCTGGAGCTGACCGTGTGGCAGGCCCTTTCGTTGTCTCACACCCACGGTCTGGGGCTTGTAGTGCACGGTTCTTTTTTTCTTCTTCTCTGTTTAAAAAATGAGATCATACATTATTCTTTCCTCTAAAAGCATTCGCTCTCGATTTCGTGTAGTTTACTGCATTTCTTTTTATCATAAAAAACAACCAATTTCTGCCTTTTCCAGACTGTCAAAAATGTTCATTATATGGCATTATTTGTAGTAAGAAAAAACTGCAAGTAACCAAAACGTCCAGCAGTAGAGGGATGGTTTAATTGGGTGTTTTCTCTGACCTATTGGAAGGATAACAACAAAATGTTAATCCGCTTGCCTTTGGGATTATGAACTATTTACATGTTTCTATTTCTCATTTTCCATTTTTTTTGACAGTGAAGATGTAAATGTTATCAGAGTGGCTCATCATTTAGTTTGTTAATTTGTGTAGTCTTAATATTAACTAAAAAATCCAGCCACGATAGGCTCTATGTGTTGATCTTTCCTAGAAAACAGCTCCCTTTCTTTCTCTTCTTTCAGATCAAGGACAGCTTTTCATTCACAGTTGAGTCATAGGCCACATGTACTTCTGACTTAGCCTTAAGAAGTAACCTTTACTTTAAAGTATTAGGTTTGTCAGAATCACAGAGTTTAGTTTAATTATTAATTTGCTACGGGTATTTAATAGGAGCAAAAAATCTGCCAACGTTATGATCAGCTCATGGAGGCATGGGAGAAAAAAGTGGACAGAATAGAAAATAATCCTCGGAGGAAAGCTAAAGAAAGCAAAACAAGGGAGTATTATGAAAAGCAGTTTCCAGAAATTCGAAAACAAAGAGAACAGCAAGAACGGTTTCAGCGGTAAGTGGTTTGATGTTTAATGGCTATGCTGTTTTCCTTTGAATCATACTTTTGATCCTTCACAATATTTATTGTTACCTGAATCTAATCATTAAGAAAGTTCATAAAGAAATTTTATTATGTTTTTCCTCTTTTTTTCCCCAATGGAAGTATAGTTGATTTACAGTGTTGTGTTAATTTCTGCTATATAGCAAAGTGATTCAGTTATACGTATATATATATTCTTTTTAATATTCTTTTCCACTATGGTTTATCACAGGATATTGAATACAGTTCCCTGTGCTATACAGTAGGGCCTTGTTTATCCATTCTATATATAATAGTTTGCATCTGCTAATGCCAAACTCCCAATCCATCCCTCCCCTGCCCCTTGGCAACCACAAGTCTGTTCTCTGTGTCTGTGAGTCTAAGAACTTTTATTTTGAATATAAAACTTCATTATCAGCTAACAATGTTTATGCCTTAGTGAATCTAATATTAATTTTTTATATTTAATCATGCTGTTGATTAATATAATCAATTTTTTTAAATTTAATCATGCTGTTGAATCTAAATTTAAGTGAATATTTTGAAATTAATTCTTCAGTTCTTGAAAACGCTCATTCCTTTGGAAATGACAGTTAGTAAGAATAGACTTGCATGTCTCACAGTTCTTCGTCACCTCCCAACATGATCAAAACTCTTAAATTGATTGCTAATTGAGAAATTCTTTGTTATTGGTATGTAGTTTCTGATTTCTTTTTACTTTTAGAGAACAAGTACTTTTGCAAAGGTAGAGCTTTAGTTTTCGTCTCCACTGTCTCATGAAAGCCCCGTTAATCACAATTAAGTTTCTGTCAGGGATGATGATTGTGTTTTTTTCCCATCCCTTTAAAAATGTTTTGTGTATTTTTCTAAGTCTGCTATCCTGTTCTCTGGAAGGCAGACAAAAGAATGCTATTTGAGATGAAAATGACACCAATAACTGTAGTTTTCCAAAAGTTTCCCATAAACAGTTCTGCCATGGGAACTTAGACATGTAACCTTTAAAAAGAAATCTTACCATTTAAATTGTTACTAATTTTATAGATAAATGGCTTAAACATATTACTTAAAAGTAGTTTCTCAGTAGCATTTTAGGTTTCTTCTCTGACTTCTAGTTGATTAAAAAGTCCCATTCAGAAAAGAAATCGACGTAAAAGTAATCTAACTGATATGTCTTCTTTATAAAAGGCCTTTAAATATATCTAAAATTTCTCCCTCATATTTAGAGTTGGGCAGAGGGGAGCTGGTCTTTCAGCCACCATTGCTAGGAGTGAACATGAGATTTCTGAAATTATTGATGGGCTCTCTGAACAGGAGGTAAGACAGTTAATTGATTTAATTCAAGTTAATTGATTAATTATTCAGGCATTTTAGCTTCATACCCCATAAACTAAGGGTTTATTTGTATATAACTGAGGGAACACTTATGGCGTTTGAATTGTTCCAAAGTTTGTGGCCAACCGTCGAAGGTTTTAAACAAGGCCGCCCTATGCCATTTTTACGAAGACGGCTTTGGCAGCAGGGAGGCCTGGAAAGAGGTGAGGAGGCTGTTATGATAAAAATAAGGACCTGAGTCAGGGCGACAGTGGTAGAAATGTGTAGGAAGGGCCTGGTGGAGAGATTTGTAGAAGGCAGAGTGGACAGGACAAGTGTGGGATGAGAAAGAAGAGCAGGTTAGAGGACTGAGCTGCTGGTGCCGTTTCCTAAAAGAACAAAGGAGCGTGTACTTTGCAGGTGTTTGTATGTTGGGTTGTGGACCTGAGGTTTGGGGGGATGTCCGGAGTGTGATCTCTAGCCAGCTGAGATCTGATCTGATATTAATAAATCAGTTCTGAATAAGAATAAATTTCTGTTCCTAACAGTGAATCTTTGTAGCTGTTTTCAAACTATCTCTGAAGGTCGGTCCAAAAACCATATATTGAGTTTTGCTAGTTTTGGTTTTATAATATGGCTTTTAAAAAACCTCATCTCTAAATTCTGAAAGTCATGCTTATTTGAACATCGTGGTCCTCTTAAGTAATGAAGACAATTATTATATTGCTATACATTTCAGAATTTGTGGCCATAATCTCTGCAGTGATGACTAACTCTGTGAAATTTCTTTGCTCACTTTTTGACTGATTCTATAAGGGGGGCTTCTGTAAACAGCCAAAACTAGTATCAGGTGAGGTGATTTCAACCAACACACTTTGGTGTTCAGACTGATTGAGAGTACCCATAAAATTAGAACCTTTGTAAGGACTTTACTCTAAGGCAATGTCCGCTTCTAGGAGAAGAGTTTCAGGAAAAAAACCTAGCCTTGTATTGAGGTCAGTACTTATACTTTTTGGTAAAAGTTTTCTCATGGAAGTTTGTGTTTATAAACTTACAGAATTAAACTGTGGGAAAAATAAATTGTATGACTGTAACCTAGTTTTAGTTGAAATTCTAGGGATAATAGTCTTAAATTTGCAGTGGAAAGATTATGTAAGATTAGCAAGAAGTGTTTAATACTTAAGTAAGTTTAGTTAATTTAAAATCAATGACCTTAAGATTTCGGTTCCTATCTGCTTATTTTTCTATTTTATTATTCTTTAAAATGATGTTAAGACTTTTTTAAATGAGGCAATATTAATGTTAGTAAGTGCTTCATAAGATCATTACTTCAGTGACCTGACATTACTGTGTGTCCTTTAGGTCTAAGATTCATTATTTGAAGTATCAGCTTCCTTTAAGGAAAGAACTCTTCTCAAATTGTAGTAGTGGATTATAAAAAAATAATAACTGTAGTCTCTGCCTCTGTTATTCATGCAATGAGTATTTATTAGATAATATGTATAATTACTGTATGTTAGATGTTATGGTACCACTGCTGTTGTCATTAAAGTACATATGTGGTGTTTCACTGTCGATTAAGACAGTTGGTCTGCGGCCCTTTTTAAGTTTTATTCTCTGTAAATTGCATTCTTTTTTCTTTTTTTTTCAGAATAATGAGAAACAAATGCGACAGCTCTCTGTGATCCCACCTATGATGTTTGATGCAGAACAGAGAAGGGTCAAGTTCATTAACATGAATGGGCTTATGGAGGACCCTATGAAGATTTATAAAGATAGGCAGTTCATGAATGTTTGGACTGACCATGAGAAGGAGATCTTTAAGGACAAGTAATTTAAATTTTAAATTACTCTCTAATAGAAGCTTACAGGGCTTCCCTGGTGGCGCAGTGGTTGGGAGTCCGCCTGCTGATGCAGGGGACACGGGTTCGTGCCCCAGTCCGGGAGGATCCCACATGCCGTGGAGCGGCTGGGCCCGTGGGCCATGGCCACTGGGCCTGTGCGTCCGGAGCCTGTACTCCAGAGCGGGAGAGGCCACAACAGTGAGAGGCCCACGTACCGCAAAAAAAAAAAAAAAAAAAAAAAAAAAAAGAAGCTGACATAAGTTAGTGAAAAGTATTGGCATTTACTTGTAAATTGAACTGTTTCCCCCAAAACTTGACCCCATTTTGGCATTTGAGTGGGTACTGTGGAAGTCAGAAAAGACAGATTTGATATGACCTTCCTGTAAGTTTATGGGTGGGAATGTAGGTCCCAGGTAAGAACAGGGTTGTGGAGTCATTTTAAGAGTGGTACCCAAACCTGAGCGGTGTCCTGTTCACCGGGGGGTGCATTTTAAAGTTACAGATTTCTGTGCTCTACTGTATTCCAATCCAGTCAGTTCCTGGCGGACGGTGCCCAGGAATCTGTGCCCTTTAAGAGGACATTAGCATTTAGGAGTCGCTAGAAATTAGTCTACATTATATTTCTATTCCCAAGGGCTTCCCCCTCTTTTTAAGTTGTTAAAATGTGTGTGTGTGTGTGTTTTTCTTTTACTCAGGTTTATCCAGCATCCAAAAAACTTTGGACTAATTGCATCTTACTTGGAAAGGAAGGTAAGAAATGGTTTGCACTGAGAATGTCTGTAGGTTTGTGATGGTTGCTGCTTTGAAGCTTTTGTGCCTAGTACACAGAAGTAGTTAAATAGAAATATAAGTAGTTAAATAGAATTTTTGCAAAGGGCTTGATACAGAAAAGATTCTCATGGGAATAGTATAGTGATATTTACAATTATATGATGACCAATTCTAAGCACAGAACACAGACTAATTTTCGTGGTTAATCAAAAATGACCTGATATTATATTTCCGTAAAAAAACATAGGTTACAATGTTTTTTGAACCTCATTAAACTTCTAATTAAAATTTCAGAGTCCTGATTTTTCCTGAAATTTTTTCACAGTGGATTGGATGTTGGGTTTGTGAGCAAAGTGAGACATTTTGAATATTTACGTATATAGAGGAAGAAAGAGAATTTAGTTACTCGTAAAGAAGAAAGTGCTTGAATGTTTCTGATAGTTCCTGATATCTTTTACATAATTTGTATTAAGACAGCTATAATTATCCATCAAGATAGTACACACTATATATATATATTTTTACAGCCTAGATATGCCTTAAAAAGCTAGCCATTTGTGGTTTTCCTCATTTTATACTTTGAGAACACTAGAGATTTTCCTTGAAAGTGTTACTTGATACTTTTAAAAAATTTTATTTCATTGGATCCTCAAAAATGATTTTTTTTTTGGTAGAGTGTTCCTGATTGTGTTTTATATTACTACTTAACCAAGAAAAATGAGAATTATAAAGCCCTAGTAAGAAGGAACTATGGAAAACGCAGAGGAAGAAACCAGGTATGTTTCATTATTGTATGAAACAATTTCAGGGTTGGTGGAAATATGAAGATGAAAAATTTTATAATAGGAGCCTTATATGTAGTAAGGTGTACTTTAGGAATTGACATTTCTGTTAAATTAATTAGAATGTTATGAGCATGTTTTTATTATTTTGAATATATATTTAATGTGTTATATTTTCTACTTTGAATGCATTTTAAGTTTCTAGTATAACAAAATTAATGAGAAGTTTTATATTTTCATGCTGTCGAAATTGTGCATGTCAGAGTTAACAATAATAATGTAATTAAATATGAGAACCGTGACAGCCTATTAAATATACCACCTTTACCAGTCCTTTTGTCTGTGGAGGGGACAGGTAGAGTAAGGGAGAGAAGTGAGAAGTACAGCATGGTGACTAGAGTACAGGGTTGTTTACTGAAATACCTGGGACCTGATTGTGTTTCAGGTTAACTTTATTTCTGGGGTTAAAGCACTTGACCTCAAAAGATTGTTTTTAATGCAGTGCAGTATGTGTTTTCACAGTCGCAGTTCAGTACTTTAGAAACTCTTTTCCTTCAAGTAGCTGATCAGCCACCGTCACAGCTCCCATCTGTTCTTCCTGTGCGCCCCACACCCTGAGACCGCTTGCAGGATGCGTGGCACGTGTGGGCGTGGACGGCTGCTGCCATCTTCAGCATTCCTGACGCTCTTCTGGTTCCCTCACACAGTCCCCCGCCTTCCCTTCCCTGGTCACCCCGGTCGCCAGATACAGGTTCTCTCATGATGTGTGGTCATTGTTTCTCCAAAACAATGCCACCTGACAAGATGTGATGACACACTCATCAGAAGCAGTATTTCTTGGTCAAAAAAAGTATAGAGTGTTTCATGAGTCAACTGTGTAAAACCCTGCTAGAGGTCAAGTGAGCTGCGGTGGGTGGGTGAGGGGCCAGGACTAAGACTGTAGTGAGCGAGGGGCACGGGGTGCGGGGCTACACGCTGCAGAGCACAGGCGTCCCCTTGTTTGTAAGGTTTGCTTAGAGAGGGCGCCGAGGAACGGTGGCGGGGCTGCTGGGAATCAGAAGGGAGGGAAGGGCCTGCTGGTGCAGCAGCCAGTGTTGCAGAGACAGAGCAGTGGCTACAGAGCTCCAGGAAGGGCTAACCAACTATCTGAATGGCAGGTTGGACATTGGCGGTGATGTGGGAAACTCTGTTGCACCAGAGGAGTCAGGGCATCTCCCCACTTCCCACAGAGAAAGTGGAGTCAGGGTCCATTAGCCAGAGATGGTAGAGCCCACCAGCATCTTAAACAAGTTTCAGCTACTAATTTTTTTTTTTAATTGATTCTTCCAATCCAGGAACATGGTATATCTCTCCATCTGTTTGTATCATCTTTAATTTCTTTTATCAGTATCTTACAGTTTTCTGCATACAGGTCTTTTGTCTCCTTAGGTAGATTTATCCCTAGGTATTTTATTCTTTTTGTTGCAGTGGTAAAGGGGAGTGTTTCCTTAATTCCTCTTTCAGATTTTTCATCATTAGTGTATAGGAATGCAAGAGATTTCTGTGCATTAATTTGTATCCTGCAGCTTTACCAAATTCATTGATTAGCTTTAGTAGTTTTCTGGTGGCATCTTTAGGATTCTCAATGTATCTGCAAACAGTGACAGTTTTACTTATTCTTTTCCAATTTGTATTCCTTTTATTTCTTTTTCTTCTCTGATTGCCAAGGTTAGGACTTCCAAAGCTATGTTGAATAATAGTGGTGAGAGTGGACATCCTTGTCTTGTTCCTGATCTTAGAGGAAATGCTTTCAGCTTTTCACCATTGAGAATGATGTTTGCTGTGCGTTTGTCCTATATGGCCTTTATTATGTTGAGGTAGGTTCCCTCTATGCCCACTTTCTGGAGAGTTTTCATCATAAATGGGTGTTGAATTTTGTCGAAAGCTTTTTCTGCATCTATTGAGATGATCATATGGTTTTTATTCTTCAGTTTGTTAATATGGTGTATCACATTGATTGATTTGCATGTATTGAAGAATCCTTGCATCCCTGGGATAAATCCCACTTGATCATGGTGTATCATCCTGTTAATGTGTTGTTGGATTCTGTTTGCTAGTATTGTGTTGAGGATATCAATATCACTATATTCATCAGTGATATTGGTCTGTAATTTTCTGTTTTTGTAGTATCTTTGTCTGGTTTTGGTATCAGGGTGATGGTGGCCTCATAGAATGAGTTTGGGAGTGTTCCTTCCTCTGCAGTTTTTTGGAAGAGTTTGAGAAGGATGGGTGTTAGCTCTTCTCTAAATGTTTGGTAGAATTCACCTGTGAAGCCATCTGGTCCTGGACTTTTGTTTGTTGGAAGATTTTTAATCAGTTTCAATTTCATTACTTGTGATTGGTCTGTTCATATTTTCTATTTCTTCCTGGTTCAGTCTTGGAAGGTTATACCTTTCTAAGAATTTGTCCATTTCTTCCAGGATGTCCATTTTATTGGCATAGAGTTGCTTGTGGTAGTCTCTTAGGATGCTTTGTATTTCTGTGGTGTCTGTTGTAACTTCTCCTTTTTCATTTCTAACTTTACTGATTTGAGTCCTCTCCCTCTTTTTCTTGATGAATCTGGCTAATGGTTTATTAATTTTGTTTCTGTTCTCAAAGAACCAGCTTTTAGTTTTATTGATCTTTGCTATTGTTTTCTTTGTGTCTATTTCATTTATTTCTGCTCTCATCTTAATGATTTCTTTCCGTTTCCTAACTTTGGGTTTTGTTTGTTCTTCTTTCTCTAGTTCTTTTAGGTGTAAGGTTAGATTGTTTATCTGAGATATTTCTTGTTTCTTGAGTTAGGCTTGTATTGCTATAAACTTCCCTCTTAGAACTGCTTTTGCTGCATCCCATAGGTTTTGGATCGTCGTGTTTTCGTTGTCATTTGTCTCTAGGTATTTTTTGATTTCCTCTTTGATTTCTTCAGTGATCTCTCGGTTATTTAGTAACGTATTGTTTAGCCTCCATGTGTTTGTGTTTTTTACATTTTTTTCCCTGTGACTGATCTCTAATCTCATAGTGTTGTAGTCAGAAAAGATGCTTGATATGATGTCAATTTTCTTAAATTTACTGAGGCTTGATTTGTGAGCCAAGATGTGATTTATCCTGGAGTATGTTCCGTGCGCACTTGAGAAGAAAGTGTAATCTGCTGTCTCTGGATGGAATGTCCTATAAATATCAATTAAATCTGTCTGGTCTGTTGTGTCATTTAAAGCTTGTGTTTCCTTTTCTGTCTGGATGATCTGTCCATTGGTGTAAGTGAGGTGTTAAAGTCCCCCACTATTACAGTGTTACTGTCGATTTCCTCTTTTATAGCTGTTAGCAGTTGCCTTATGTATTGAGGTGCTCCTATGTTGGGCGCATATATATTTATAATTGTTATGTCTCCTCTTGGATTGATCCCTTGATCATTATGTAGTGTCCTTCCTTGTCTCTTGTAACATTCTTTATTTTAAAGCCTATTTTATCTGATATGAGTATTGCTACTCCAGCTTTCTTTTGATTTCCATTTGCATGGAATATCTTTTTCTATCCCCTCACTTTCAGTCTGAATGTGTCCCTAGGTGTGAAGTGGGTCTCTTATAGACAGTATATATATGGGTCTTGTTTTTGTATCCATTCAGCAAGACTGTGTCTTTTGTTTGGAGCATTTAATACATTCACGTTTAAGGTAGTTATCAATATGTATGTTCCTGTTACCATTTTCTTAATTGTTATGAGCTGTTTTTTGTAGGTCCTTTTCTTCTCTTGTGTTTCCCACTTAGAGAAGTTCCTTTAGCATTTGTTGTAGAGCTGGTTTGGTGGTGCTGAATTCTCTTAGCTTTTGCTTGTCTGTAAAACTTTTTGTGTGTGTGTGGTACGCGGGCCTCTCACTGCTGTGGTCTCTCCCGCTGCGGAGCACAGGCTCCGGACGCGCAGGCCCAGCGCCCACCTAGTGCCCACGGCCCACGGGCCCAGCTGCTCCGCGGCACGCGGGATCCTCCCGGACCGGGGCACGAACCCGCGTCCCCTGCATCGGCAGGCGGACTCCCAACCACTGCACCACCAGGGAAGCCCATCTGTAAAACTTTTGATTTCTCCATTGAATCTGGATGAGATCCTTGCTGGGTAGAGTAATCTTGGTTGTAGTTTCTTCCCTTTCATCATATCGTGCTGCCCCCTTCTGGTTTGTAGAGTTTCTGCTGAGAAATCAGCTGTTAACTTTATGGGAGTTCCCTTGTATGTTATTCGTCGTTTTTCCCTTGTTGCTTTCAATAATTTTTCTTTGTCCTTAATTTTTGTCAGTTTGATTACTGTGTGTCTCCGCGTGTTTCTCTTTGGGTTTATCCTGCCTGGGACTCTCTGCACTTCCTGGACTTGGGTGGCTATTTCCTTTCCCATGTTAGAGAAGTTTTCGACTATAATCTCTTCAAATATTTTCTCGGGTCCTTTCCCTCTCTCTTCTCCTTCTGGGACCCTTATAATGCGAATGTTGTTACGTTTAATGTTGTCCCAGAGGTCTCTTATGCTGTCTTCATTTCTTTTCCTTCTTTTCTCTTTATTCTGTTCCATGGCAGTGAATTCCACCATTCTGTCTTCCAGGTCACTTATCCGTTCTTCTGCCTCAGTTATTCTGCTATTGATTCCTTCTACTGTAGTTTTCATTTCAGTTTTTGTATTGTTCATCTCTGTTTGAACAGAGATGAACACCTCTGTTCTTCTAGGTGTTTGTTCTTTAATTCTTCTAGGTCTTTGTTAAACATTTCTTGCATCTTCTCCATCTTTGCCTCCATTCTTTTTCTGAGGTCCTGGATCATCTTCACTGTCATTATTCTGAATTCCTTTTCTGGAAGGTTGCCTGTCTCCACTTCATTTAGTTGTTTTTCTGGGGTTTTATCTTGTTCCTTCATCTGGTACATAGCCCTCTGCCTTTTCATCTTGTCTGTCTTTCTGCGAATGTGGTTTTTGTTCCACAGCCTGCAGGATTGTAGTTC